CATCAAATGAAGGACTATTAGACCATCAAATGAAGGACTATTAGACCATCAAATGAAGGACTGTTAGCCCATCTAATGAAGGACTATTAGCCCATCTAATGAAGGACTGTTAGCCCATCTAATGAAGGACTGTTAGCCCATCTAATGAAGGACTATTAGACCATCTAATGAAGGACTGTTAGCCCATCTAATGAAGGACTGTTAGCCCATCTAATGATGGACTATTAGCCCATCTAATGAAGGACTGTTAGACCATCTAATGATGGACTATTAGCCCATCTAATGAAGGACTGTTAGACCATCTAATGAAGGACTATTAGACCATCTAATGAAGGACTATTAGACCATCTAATGAAGGACTGTTAGACCATCTAATGAAGGACTATTAGACCATCTAATGAAGGACTATTAGCCCATCTAATGAAGGACTGTTAGACCATCTAATGAAGGACTGTTAGCCCATCTAATGATGGACTATTAGCCCATCTAATAGTCCTTCATTAGATGGTCTAACAGTCCTTCATTAGATGGGCTAATAGTCCTTCATTAGATGGGCTAACAGTCCTTCATTAGATGGGCTAATAGTCCTTCATTAGATGGTATAATAGTCCTTCATTAGATGGGCTAACAGTCCTTCATTAGATGGTCTAATAGTCCTTCATTAGATGGGCTAATAGTCCTTCATTAGATGGGCTAACAGTCCTTCATTAGATGGGCTAACAGTCCTTCATTAGATGGTCTAATAGTCCTTCATTAGATGGTCTAACAGTCCTTCATTAGATGGGCTAATAGTCCTTCATTAGATGGGCTAACAGTCCTTCATTAGATGGGCTAACAGTCCTTCATTAGATGGGCTAATAGTCCTTCATTAGATGGTCTAATAGTCCTTCATTAGATGGGCTAACAGTCCTTCATTAGATGGTCTAACAGTCCATCTAATGTTAGACCATCTAATGATGGACTATTAGCCCATCTAATGAAGGACTATTAGACCATCTAATGAAGGACTATTAGACCATCTAATGAAGGACTATTAGACCATCTAATGAAGGACTATTAGCCCATCTAATGAAGGACTATTAGACCATCTAATGAAGGACTGTTAGACCATCTAATGAAGGACTATTAGACCATCTAATGAAGGACTATTAGCCCATCTAATGAAGGACTGTTAGACCATCTAATGAAGGACTGTTAGACCATCTAATGAAGGACTGTTAGCCCATCTAATGAAGGACTATTAGACCATCTAATGAAGGACTATTAGCCCATCTAATGAAGGACTGTTAGCCCATCTAATGAAGGACTGTTAGCCCATCTAATGAAGGACTATTAGCCCATCTAATGAAGGACTCTTAGACCATCTAATGAAGGACTATTAGCCCATCTAATGAAGGACTGTTAGCCCATCTAATGAAGGACTATTAGACCATCTAATGAAGGACTATTAGCCCATCTAATGAAGGACTGTTAGACCATCAAATGAAGGACTGTTAGACCATCAAATGAAGGACTGTTAGACCATCTAATGAAGGACTATTAGCCCATCTAATGAAGGACTGTTAGACCATCTAATGAAGGACTGTTAGACCATCTAATGAAGGACTGTTAGACCATCTAATGAAGGACTGTTAGCCCATCTAATGAAGGACTGTTAGCCTGAAGGACTATTAGACCATCAAATGAAGGACTGTTAGCCCATCTAATGAAGGACTATTAGACCATCTAATGAAGGACTGTTAGACCATCTAATGAAGGACTGTTAGCCCATCTAATGAAGGACTGTTAGCCCATCTAATGAAGGACTGTTAGCCTGAAGGACTGTTAGCCCATCTAATGAAGGACTGTTAGCCCATCTAATGAAGGACTATTAGACCATCTAATGAAGGACTGTTAGACCATCTAATGAAGGACTGTTAGCCCATCTAATGAAGGACTGTTAGACCATCTAATGAAGGACTATTAGCCCATCTAATGAAGGACTGTTAGACCATCTAATGAAGGACTGTTAGACCATCTAATGAAGGACTGTTAGACCATCTAATGAAGGACTGTTAGCCCATCTAATGAAGGACTGTTAGCCTGAAGGACTATTAGACCATCAAATGAAGGACTATTAGACCATCAAATGAAGCACTATTAGACCATCAAATGAAGGACTGTTAGCCCATCTAATGAAGGACTATTAGCCCATCTAATGAAGGACTGTTAGCCCATCTAATGAAGGACTGTTAGCCCATCTAATGAAGGACTATTAGACCATCTAATGAAGGACTGTTAGCCCATCTAATGAAGGACTATTAGACCATCTAATGAAGGACTATTAGCCCATCTAATGAAGGACTGTTAGCCCATCTAATGAAGGACTATTGGCCCATCTAATGAAGGACTGTTAGACCATCTAATGAAGGACTATTAGACCATCTAATGAAGGACTGTTAGCCCATCTAATAAAGGACTGTTAGCCCATCTAATGAAGGACTGTTAGCCCATCTAATGAAGGACTGTTAGACCATCTAATGAAGGACTATTAGCCCATCTAATGAAGGACTGTTAGACCATCTAATGAAGGACTATTAGCCCATCTAATGAAGGACTGTTAGCCCATCTAATAAAGGACTGTTAGCCCATCTAATGAAGGACTGTTAGCCCATCTAATGAAGGACTGTTAGCCCATCTAATGAAGGACTGTTAGCCCATCTAATGAAGGACTGTTAGACCATCTAATGAAGGACTGTTAACCCATCTAATGATGGACTATTAGCCCATCTAATGAAGGACTGTTAGACCATCTAATGATGGACTATTAGCCCATCTAATGAAGGACTGTTAGACCATCTAATGAAGGACTATTAGACCATCTAATGAAGGACTATTAGCCCATCTAATGAAGGACTATTAGCCCATCTAATGAAGGACTATTAGACCATCTAATGAAGGACTGTTAGACCATCTAATGAAGGACTATTAGACCATCTAATGAAGGACTATTAGCCCATCTAATGAAGGACTGTTAGACCATCTAATGAAGGACTGTTAGAGCATCTAATGAAGGACTGTTAGCCCATCTAATGAAGGACTGTTAGCCCATCTAATGAAGGACTGTTAGCCTGAAGGACTATTAGACCATCAAATGAAGGACTATTAGACCATCAAATGAAGGACTATTAGACCATCAAATGAAGGACTGTTAGCCCATCTAATGAAGGACTGTTAGCCCATCTAATGAAGGACTATTAGACCATCTAATGAAGGACTGTTAGCCCATCTAATGAAGGACTATTAGACCATCTAATGATGGACTATTAGCCCATCTAATGAAGGACTGTTAGCCCATCTAATGAAGGACTATTAGCCCATCTAATGAAGGACTGTTAGACCATCTAATGAAGGACTATTAGACAATCTAATGAAGGACTGTTAGCCCATCTAATAAAGGACTGTTAGCCCATCTAATGAAGGACTGTTAGACCATCTAATGAAGGACTGTTAGCCCATCTAATAAAGGACTGTTAGCCCATCTAATGATGGACTATTAGCCCATCTAATGAAGGACTATTAGACCATCTAATGAAGGACTATTAGCCCATCTAATAAAGGACTGTTAGCCCATCTAATGAAGGACTGTTAGACCATCTAATGAAGGACTGTTAGCCCATCTAATAAAGGACTGTTAGCCCATCTAATGATGGACTATTAGCCCATCTAATGAAGGACTATTAGCCCATCTAATGAAGGACTATTAGACCATCTAATGAAGGACTGTTAGCCCATCTAATAAAGGACTGTTAGCCCATCTAATGAAGGACTGTTAGCCCATCTAATAAAGGACTGTTAGCCCATCTAATGATGGACTATTAGCCCATCTAATGAAGGACTATTAGACCATCTAATGAAGGACTATTAGCCCATCTAATGAAGGACTGTTAGACTATCTAATGAAGGACTCTTAGACCATCTAATGAAGGACTATTAGCCCATCTAATGAAGGACTGTTGGCCCATCTAATGAAGGACTATTAGACCATCTAATGAAGGACTATTAGCCCATCTAATGAAGGACTGTTAGACCATCAAATGAAGGACTGTTAGACCATCAAATGAAGGACTGTTAGACCATCTAATGAAGGACTATTAGCCCATCTAATGAAGGACTGTTAGACCATCTAATGAAGGACTGTTAGACCATCTAATGAAGGACTATTAGCCCATCTAATGAAGGACTATTAGACCATCTAATGAAGGACTATTAGCCCATCTAATGAAGGACTGTTAGACCATCTAATGAAGGACTATTAGCCCATCTAATGAAGGACTGTTAGCCCATCTAATGAAGGACTATTAGACCATCTAATGAAGGACTATTAGCCCATCTAATGAAGGACTGTTAGACCATCAAATGAAGGACTGTTAGACCATCAAATGAAGGACTGTTAGCCCATCTAATGAAGGACTGTTAGCCCATCTAATGAAGGACTATTAGACCATCTAATGAAGGACTGTTAGCCCATCTAATGAAGGACTATTAGCCCATCTAATGAAGGACTGTTAGCCCATCTAATGAAGGACTGTTAGACCATCTAATGAAGGACTATTAGCCCATCTAATGAAGGACTGTTAGACCATCTAATGAAGGACTGTTAGCCCATCTAATGAAGGACTATTAGACCATCTAATGAAGGACTATTAGCCCATCTAATGAAGGACTGTTAGACCATCTAATGAAGGACTCTTAGACCATCTAATGAAGGACTATTAGCCCATCTAATGAAGGACTGTTAGCCCATCTAATGAAGGACTATTAGACCATCTAATGAAGGACTGTTAGCCCATCTAATGAAGGACTATTAGACCATCTAATGAAGGACTGTTAGACCATCTAATGAAGGACTGTTAGCCCATCTAATGAAGGGTTATTAGACCATGTAATGAAGGACTATTATAATGAGAGAGTATTAGTCTTGCTCTAGAATAAAACATGTTCTCTCTGTGTGTCTCCAGCTTTGGTTGTCGGACTCGGAGACGCCGCATCTTCTGCCTCCTCGATGCTCCGGCTCTGTATGGGATCAGCTGGACATGATCAGCGCTGAGACCGACTCAGTCCCGGACGTGCAGATCTCTATCCCTGAGGATCAGGACACCAGCGTTCCCAGCCGGCACGGCAGCGGAGACTCCGGCTTCAACTCCACAGAGGACTCCAGTGTCCGGCTGCTCAGCTCCACGCGACACGACACACACACTGACACACTCAGCGACACACAAACTGACACACACACACTGACACACACACCGACCCACACACCGACACACACACACTGACACACACACTGACACACTCACCGACACACACACCGACACACACACTGACACACACACTGACACACACACCGACACACACACTGACACACACACCGACACACACAATGACACACACACTGACACACACACCGACACACACACCGACCCACACACCGACACACACACCGACACACACACCGACACACACACCGACACACACACTGACACACTCACCGACACACTCACCGACACACACACCGACACACACACCGACACACACAATGACACACACACCGACACACACACACCGACCCACACACTGACACACTCACCGACACACACACTGACACACAGACTGACCCACACACCGACACACACACCGACACACACACACCGACCCACACACTGACACACTCACCGACACACACACTGACACACAGACTGACCCACACACCGACCCACACACTGACACACTCACCGACACACACACTGACACACAGACTGACCCACACACCGACACACACACTGGCGACACACACTGACCCACACATCGACACACACACTGACCCACACAGCGGCGACACACACTGGCACACACACTGAGACACACACACTGACACAGTCACTGACACACACACTGACCCACACACCGACACACACACTGACGCACACACCGACACACACACTGGCGACACACACTGACCCACACACCGACACACACACTGACCCACACAGCGGCGACACACACTGGCACACACACTGAGACACACACACTGACACAGTCACTGACACACACACTGACCCACACACCGACACACACACTGACCCACACAGCGACACACACACTAACACACTCACCGACACACTCACCGACACACACACTGACCCACACACCGACACACACACTGACCCACACAGCGACACACACACTAACACACTCACCGACACACTCACCGACACACACACTGACCCACACACCGACACACACACTGACCCACACAGCGACACACACACTGACCCACACAGCGACACACACACTGACACACACACACTGGACAAACACACTAGCCGCGTTTCCACTGTCGGGCCAGTGCTAGGCCAGGGCTTTAAACGGGCCGTGCCGGGCTAATAGCCTCGGGCCAGTAGCACCTGGCCTGCGTTTCCACTGTCGGGCCAGAAGCTCCACAGCGCGTCACTAAAACACGCCCGCAACACGCCTCTCTGGTCAACAACGTCACACTAACCCATCATTTCACCAACAAATGGAAGTTTTATCAGAAAACTAATCAGAAAGAAATCACTGGAAACAGCGTGCATCGCAAAACAAACAGCGTGCATCGCAAAACAAACATGATAAAAGCGGCCGTTTGCTGGCATTTTTGTTGTTTACTTGAATATTTAAAACCCAAGCATCGATGTTTTACCTCAGGTTTACAATAAAAAGTGATACATTGATCATGATGAATTAATTTATGTCAAAATTGCACATTAGTCACACAGAAATAAATGACCGTTAGGTCTATTTCACAAAAGAAAGAGGACACACTTACATTATTCAGTCGAGGCTGTTTCTGTTTATTTGGTAGTTACAAGACATATATCACATTTAGAAAGAATGATAATTTCTACAAATAATGTTATATGCCACCAAAAATACGACCTGAGGAGCGTTAGCACAGTCTCGACTCCCAGTAGCTACATATATTTTCAGTCAGAGAAACAGGAAGCTCCCGAAAAAAAAAGTAGATAGTCCGGTATAAAGAGACTACTATGTAGTATATGTAAGCTACTGACAGATAAAATAAAAACATGATTGTGATAGCCTTTATGATTGGTCTGACTTCTTCAAGGGTTCACCATGTTTTTTTTTACTATGCGTATCTTCAAGCGTTTACTATGTTTACTATGGTAATGGTTAGCGCGCAAAGTCTTTTGCATCGCGTATAAATATTTCTACCTTATATGGTGATCAGAATCCACATCGGATCACAAACAGAAGGCATTAAAACATGAAAGTGAGTTAAATTATTTTAAAAGTCTTTAATGCTGACAGAATCATTCGGCGCTCCTGTCTCTCGACTCAGGTAATCCCCGCCTCTGTTCGTAACCACTCCTCTAGCCCGAGCTGGCCCGCTTTGGCCCAAGGTATTCGACGGGCCAGAAATCCTGGCCGTTGGCCCCGAGTAAGCCCCGATCAAGCCCCGGAAGTGACAGTGGAAACGCGACTGGCCCTGGCACGCACTAGCACGGCCCGGCCCTGGCCCGGCAGTGGAAACGCGGCTATTGACACACACACTGACACACACACTGACCCACACACCGACACACACCGACACACACACACTGACCACAGGTACAAGACAGACACGCAGCACAGGGAAGAGATGCATGATGGGACGCTGGAGATCTGCGCTTAACACCACAAACACATCACAGTCAAACAGACACGACTTAGTTTAGACTTGTTTTTCTTCATTCAAATCATCTTATTGTACATGTTGTAACAGCAGCACTGTGTAAATGCAAAACCTTTGTGTGTTTGTCATTTCAGCCATATTTTCATTTCTGTATTTAAGCATGCAGATTCTTTATGATTCTTATAGAATCTTTATTAATCCATTTGTTAGCTTTACACTCATCTCCACCCAATGTCAGATTAAAATACTCTATCATGCGCAGTTTCCTTGTTCTTCTTCAGATTCTGTCACTAGGAAGTGTTTGTTAAAACCCTGTTCCTGTTGTTTACATGCATATTTGCTCCAGGAAGGATTTATTCATTCAACTGTTTATGTCTATTTTACTCTTATTGCATTTGTTTGTAATTATAATAACAGCTTGAGGCTCTACAGCACGTGGAGAACGTCACAACAATAGTTATTAATAAAGCTGAGGTTATCGCAAGCCTTAGTAAACTGAGGTTAAACAAGACCTGATGGTTTAAAGCCTGTCTTCTTCAAGACTCCTCCATTAAAAGGAGTTTTTAAAGGCTGTTCCAGTGTCTTCTGGACACATGTACACCGCAAAACTATGGAGATACTCAATCATTAGGCCTGTGGCATAAAACGCAAGGTTATGCTAACCCTAACCTATGCTAAATGTTCCCTTTCGAGGGAACTCGCGATGCGTCATCGACGCTTTGGGAACGCCCCCAGCGTGAATGCGTCTGAGCATCAATGTCAACTAGTCCAATGGAAAGAATGAGCGTCACGGGCGGGTGACGTCATGACCAGGAAGGCATAAGAGCACATCCGGTGAAACGCGGCATTAGCTTCTGTGTCTCAGCAAGCGATCTGTGTTACTCTGTCTCTGTCTATTTATTGTTGTCTGTTCGATATTATTGGGAAGAGTTATGGCGGAACAACTTTACAAACTCTGTGCTTCTCCCTGCCCGCGTTATTTAACGGGTGGGGTCACACACGAGCTTTGTGTAGTTTGTTTGGGAGTGGAGCATGCGGTGTCAGCCTTCGAGGGGGCTGATTGCCAGCATTGCGAGATGCTTCTGCTCCGCATGCTCCGCTCTCGCCTGGCGCTTTTCGAGGAAAGTGGCCAGGCTCGCGATCCTCAGGGTGCAGGACCCGCGTCTGCCGAGGCAGCGCGGAGAATGCATTCCTGTGGATCGCGAATAGGATCTCTTTACGGGGTTGGAGACGGGTCCGCGGATCTTATCTCCTCCCTTTCCATGAGGGATCCAGTGCTCTCTCTCCGGTCTCGGAAGCCGCGCTGCGGTCTCTTCCGCCCGGGGAGAGAAATCAATGCTTCAGTGCTCTACCTCCGAGGAGGTAGATGTGCTGGACATTGAAAGTGACACAATCATGGGGGAAGTGGATTTGCCATCTCTTCCCCAGTGTATGAGAAATATATATAGCATATATATATATATGATAGTTTATATGTTATATATAAAATAAAGTGTATATATATAAAGAATGTATATATATAAAATAAATATATATATATATATATATAATAATAGGCTGGTGGAGGTGTTCACTAAGGCTGTAGATAAATTAAATATTTAATGGCCAGCAGAAATAAGGGGGCACTCGTCCTTAAAATAAATTGAATGAGTTTCCTTCCCTCTATTTTTCCACCTCCATCACGGGGCCTTCCATTTTTCCCGATCTGCACAGCGAGCTGTCTAGATCATGGAAAAAGCCTTACTCATTTTTTAGCCCCACATTCATGTATATTCAGATATTTGGGGGTTAAGAGAGTATGGCTATGGGGCAATACCCCGGGTAGAACAGACACTTGCGAGCTATGTCTCCTGGTTCAGTATCGTCCCTGAAGGCGTCGGCTTCTCTCACTAAACCATTAAAGAAAACTATTTTTTAATCTAGTGGGAAAAGCATATATGGCAGTGGGTCTAGCATGAGCCTGCTTGCACACTATAGCAGTGCTGCAAGCATATCAGGCTGACCTGCTGTGGTATTTGGACAGAAGTGAGGGAGTTTGGCCCGATGGGGTTTGAGAACTCCGTCGGGCCTCAGATTTATCTCTCAGGGATGGCAGCCCTTGTGGTCACTGAGAGACACATCTGGCTCAATTTGATGGGAATCATGGAGAAAGATACAAGCTAATCTCTCCTTCGCTATGTCCAACCCCCTGGGGCTGCTGGGCGTGAGCAGCTCCAGCCGGCTAGTTTCTCATACACAACACAGCAGCCAAAGCCTTCAAAGCAGAAGCCGGATCCGAGGACCGTTCTTCATGCTGAGAAGGCTGCGGCTCAAAAGAAAAGGTCTGGCGCCACCGGCGTCAGACCGTTGAGGGGAGCCCCAACCGGGGTGGAATGGTGTACACCTCATTATACGGTGCCCTTTCCATCTCTGTGCCCTGCCCTCAGGGGACCGTTCTGCCAACCCCGCCACCCTTGGTGCTTCGGGGCGCAGCGTTCTCCAGCGAGCTTCTGGCGCAGCGTCAACTCGACATTGCGTCGGACTCGCGCC